CCCTTTCCCCTTTCCCCGCAGCTCAAAATAACCATTTCTACAGTCCAGTCCTTTATTTAGCAAGGTTGGCTTTGCAACATAGAGTGAGTAATAATAGCAAGTAATTAACAAGTTGTTCATAAGGAGCATCTATCAAAGTGTGATCCCTCTGATTTGTGACGTTAGCTCTTGCCCACCGTAAAGAGTTGATTCCAAATTAATCTCTCTCCTACAGAAAAGGACTGGCTCTAACCTCAGGGAGATTCATGCTGGTTCCACCCTCAGGGAGGTTAATGCTGCTTGGATTTACATAATTGCTCCACTTGTTTAGCTTGACAACTAACCACTGTGTTAATGAACTCATACTCTTCCCGCTCTGACCCTCTTTGTTCTACTCTCTCTGTTCCAAAACAGAGACAGTCTGCTTGGGTAATCTCTCATTTACCTAAGGATTTCATTTCCAATCCCTCTTCTTCACCACCAGACTCCTGGAATGCTGTATTTTGAGAGAAGCAGGCCCCGTCCCAAAATCTGGCAGTATAGGGACTTCACACACATTTTTAAACTGTACATTTGCTTTAAGTACACACCTGAAAAAGACATGTGTGAATGAGATCAACATGAGTTAAACACAAGTATGGTACATCTTGGCATGGTCATTGTGGAGCTGTGATTAGCTGCAGATTTCTGTTGAATATACCTATGCACAGGTTTAAAATATATGATTGTATTGTTTTTCTCATTTTTTGAAAAGAACAGTTGCTTCTTTTCTAATACTAAGCCTAGGCATGGGTTGTTTTTCATTTTCCAGGGAATCTTGAAACATATCATGGTAGGTTAGAGGATACCCACTGAAGAAGTTAGACAAGAATATCATGGTTTTTCTCCATTACCCAGGAAATTCTTGTCTCTTCCCAAGTCTAGTGTCACCTAGTGATCAGACTTTATAATGGTACTATCCATGTAGAATTCAGTTCTAACTTCCTTCATAGCATCCATAACATCTTCCTCCTTAAAAGTCAAACTGTTTTCTTCCTTTGTGTTTTTAATTACTGGCCCTCTGTGGTTACTGATCTGCCAGGGATTACACAGCTTGCAAAGCTGTAGAATTTTGCTGATGAACATTGATACTGGTTCTTGCCAAGTGGACGTGCTTTCTTTCATTGGCTGATAAGTGATGAAAGAAACCCCTAAACAGTCCCCAAAGTTCAAGAGAGGGACTGATAACTTGGCATCTTTTTATAGGACAAAAATGTATTTTGCATTATCTAGAGCCATGGAAGAATGCAGGGACGAGAAGAGGGCCAGCAAAGTTACAGAAAGGACCTTTGTGTTTGCAGTGCTTAACTCATTGTGAAAGCAAAGCCTATCAGAACGGAGAGAGCGCCAAGATGACTGGGAGCTGTAAACCTAGGAGATGCTTTGGGCTGTGCAGAATAAATTGCACGTGAGCATTAATTTCCATTTAGATGTCCCAAAACCCAGAGTAAATAAAGTCCTCAACATCCCCATGCTTTTTACTCCCCCTGTAATAACATTTGTAAATGCATTCCCTTTAAATGAACCTCTAAAGGCTTTGAATAGGAACTGTTACAAATTCTAGTGGGAACCACTTCACCCCACTTTCCATTCTTGCTGGTGACAAGCTGAGCCCATGGTAGTTCATGGTGATACACTTCCCTGTGAAGGCCAGCTTGTTTTCTTGCTCATTCATACTAGAAATGAAATTATGCCTCACAAATTTGTTTTCTTATGTTTCTTGGGTGAAGGGTTCCCTCACCTCCACCCTACCTCTTGCTCAAAAGAATTTACAGCCCTGTTGCTGGAGGCTGTGAAACCCAATCACTCCATCAAGACAAGATGGCTTGTGATCCACTTAATATAGTTCCTGCTCAAGGACTTTAAAGATCTTCAGTTTCTGACACTAGTAACAGCTGAAACACATCACATCATCTCATTTTGTATAGAAAATTCTGTCTCTGAAAAGGGATTCTGTGTAACTGAAAAGCTCGTACATCCAGCATATGGAATGTTTGTTGATTCACTAAAATGTATCATTTTCCTCATTCTCTCTCTCTCTCTCTCTCTCTCTCTCTCTCTCTCTCTCTCTCTCTCTGTGTGTGTGTGTGTGTGTGTGTGTGTGTGTGTGTGTGTGTGTGTGGTGGGAGCTGTGGAATCCCATGTGTATGCTGTGGGACTAAACCAGTTATGAACTGGGTCTGATGTTTCTTCTGTATGCTGGAGACAGAAATAGTTTTTAAGGATCTTGTAAGTGATGTGACTATTGCTGTCTTTAGAGCACACAAACTCTTTTGACCCGCTTTTGCCTCTGTTCAAAGAGGCTTTTTCAGGTTTTTAAAACATTACAAAAGCCTGCAAACCTTTGTACTGGAGATGGTGAGATGGGAGTAGATGCCCTTCCGTGCCCTCTGTGGGGTGGGGGATCTAATTAAGCCATCCATAGCATGAGCCAGGATTTCAGTAAATATAATGCTGTTTAAGTTGAGTATTGAGCGATACTTTTCACACTTGAAGGTCATTTCTAGATGTTACTTCCCCACAGCAGCCCATGCAGAGTTTGTGTCACTAAAGTGGGATGAGTAAACATGGACCTGCCTAGGATAACCAGCAGTCGTGGGGGTTCAGTGGTAATTTGGACCAGCAGTGATAAGCACTGAGATTGCTACTTGCAGGTGTTGGGTTGCTTAGCTACAAGTACCCCACATACCACAGATCCTCTTTGCTATTAATAATTCCGAAACAATTTCAACCATTTCCCTTAATACTTATCTTATCATTGGGATAATCCCAGTTTGTCTCCTTTTCTTTCAAAATAAGGGTCAGACTATACAATATGTTAAATTTTGGGCATATTTAGCTCTTTGGATATTGTTTTTACTCACAAGTAAGTGTGAATGCAATTGACACAGGTAGGGGAGTTTTAAACCTCTTCTTCAGTTGCTTGTTTTCAGAAATCCTTCTCCCTGTGCAGAGGCTAAAAGTATTTGTCTTCCTTTTTATCCCCTGCATGGAGTGTGGGGCGGCATTTGGGGAAACAAGCTGCCGTGGTGGAGGTTTAAATTTCTCTCCCCCTTGCACGGTGATCTAAATTGCAGCTCTGTGTGGTTACCTGTGAGTTTAAAAAATCTTTCAAGACTTGTCTGCTGCTCAGAGCATAATTTACAGACCATGTAGCTTGATCCTCATGCTTTGCACGGTGCCTAGACATATGCCAGGATTATGTTTCTGGTTTTTGCTTTTAAACTATGGCTTAATATAATCAGTAACAGCTTGCTTGGATTTAAGTGCAAGGAGTTTAAGGCAGATAAAGAGGGCTGCTTTTCAAGAGGTACAGCCGTGCACCTTCGTGCACTGCATTTGCCAAAAAGTGGGCAGGGCAAATTTTAGCAAGTTTTAACTCAGGTAAGTTTGCATGTGAGAGGGTTTGGGTGTAGTATAAAAAAGTGCCTAATACTAGTGTATTAGGCAAAGGAGGCTCAGAACTAAAGCTTGTATTTTGCATTCTAGTTAATTCCTTTTTCAAGTCATGCCAACTGTGGCTCTGACAGATATTACAAGAGGGTGCCAATAGGAAAAGGTGTAGCCAAAAAACAAGTGGAGGAGCTGGTATTCTGATCCTAAAGAGATCTTTGAAACCCTGACAACTAGTGGGAGAATGAAACAATTCACTTCCTCTTGATAATGATGTCTTTGTAATATCCAAGATGGCTCTTTATGTCTTAGCAGTGAATAATTAGAGACATTTCGTAAAAATTTGCTGTGAACTGCTGGGAAGATATAGAAAATTCATCAGAATTTGCTTTTGCTTCTTATGTATCCCTGTTCTAATGCAGAGCTTGAAATTTTAATTTTTTATATGACTGTAAGGAGTATGTGTCCCAGAATTTGGCTGGAACAACAAAATGTACTGCTGAATTGCATGTAGATGTTTCCAGACTCAGCCCTTTCCTTGGCACCTCCGGTTAAAAATGTGATGCTGGCTAAGGGCCACACACACTCACCCAAACATATACACACATACACACAGGTGCACATACACACAGGAGCATTCCAGTGATTCTGATGCAGATCGCTTTTCCTCACTGCTAGGAGCAGCAGGGGGAAAAGCCCTATTTGCACAAATATCTCTGGGGGAAGGAGTGAAAAGGCTTCCCTTTTCTCCCTCTCCCCTCCTGCAGAAGCTGCCAGTGGCTACCAATGAGGAAAAAGTTGACTTTATCAGGAGGTTCGTGACAGAAGTTAATTCAGTAGCTGGGGGTTTGGGGTGTCAGAGCATCTGTAGCAGGCCACAGTGAATGCGTTGAGGACCGCACATAGCCTAGTAGGCACAGGTTGTGCATCCCTGAGTTAAAGTAGATGCACAGATTCCCACACCAGAACATTCAAGTAGGCAGTAATGAGCTGGATGGACCACTGCTAGGGACGGAGGCATACTTTCGTTTCAGAGCATGCATGTGGCATGCATCAGGATGCTGGTCCAACCCATCTGCTCTCCAGTTAATCAGATCAGGGAGCAGACCTCCGCCTGCACTGCTGGAGAGCAGCTGCCCATTGGAAAAAACTGTAGTAGGCTGGGTGGAAAGCGGTCCGACCACGGGGACTGCTTCCCTCCTTCCAGGGCAATGCTGCAGGATGAGCTGAGTCCATTTGGGTTGGATGACACAAGCCTCGCCTTGCATGAAGTTTAAGTGCGCATGCAAGCACCGCCCAGGGCTGGAGCTGCTTAGCTTTAGCAGGACTGCGGCATCATATGCCTTCCAACCACATTCTTCCATTGCTAAGAAAAGAGCCAGAGGCTATCTAACTCAGTCTTCCCTTCAAGTGTTGGACTGCAACTTCTATCATTCCCAGCCAGCATGGGAGTTGCAGTCCCATGCGCCTAGAAGACACCTGGTCAGGGGAATCCAATTAGTTTCCCTGTCTTCAAGCAGCCTTCAACCAAGGCACTAATCCCATGTCCCATCCCATGCTGGTCATGTGCACACGTCCCTTTGCTGCAGGAATTCAGCTGTGCCAAAGCGCTGTACATTTCGGACTCAGACAAGAGGAAGCACTTCCGGCTGGTCCTGAAGCTCTTTTTCAGCAACGGGCAAGAGATTGGCACATTCCACAGCAAGCTGATCAAAGTAATTTCCAAGCCGTCCCAGAAGAAGCAGTCCCTGAAGAACACAGACTGTAAGTGCAAAAGATGGGCTGGGGAGGGGACCCCGCTTAGGGGAAGGACAGCTGCTCTGTAGGCAGAAGGTTCCTTGTTTAGTCCCCACCAGCTCCAGTGAAAAGGACTGGGTCGCAGGGGATAGGAGCGCTTTCTGCCTGAGCCCCTGCAGAGCTGCTGCTGCTACTCTGATTAGACAGTGTTAGGGTATATGAGCCAACAGTGTGATCTGGGGCTTCCCTACATGAGGCTTTAAGCCTGCTGCTTTACTCAAGCAGCTGCTTCTGGATTCGTTGTGAGATTAAGATCAGTCCCTGTGTATGAGCTTTTCGTTTTTGCTTCCCAGAAAGGTTTCTTTTTCTGCCTTGCTGTGATTTCTCTTACACAGCCACAAGTGGAGCTGCACTGTGGCAGAATTCAAGGAAGTTGCCATGGGGAAAATGAAGGGTGCAACGATGGGAATAGCGAGCTGGAGCCTCAGTGACAGCTCCCCTGCTATTCTACATCAATTTGAATATTTACTCAGACGGGAGTCCCCCAGTTTACTCCCAGCATATTTACTCCCGGCATATTTACTCAGACAGGAGTCCCCCAGTGTATCACCGGGCCCCTTTATTGCTCACTAAGAATTAATTGTTACTTGCTGTGCTTTATTATTCTATTCCACTGGCAGCATATAAACAAAATTAATTAAGAACATTGATTGCTTTGATAACTTTGCAGAATATAGTATATAATTTTGCATAATAAACAGTAATATATAGGGTAATGTACAGAGGACTGCAGCATTAAACCTGCATTTACATTCAATCCATTGGGGCTTGATCCTATGCATAATCAGGCAGAACAATAGTCCTACAGTTCCCAACTGGCTGGCAAATGCTTGGATCTGTTAAGACTGCTTTTCTGTCTGAACATGCAGAGGTTTGCGCCCTTAAACATCCATGTGAAAATTCCCCTAAGGTGCTTCTCAGCCTTGTCTCTGATGTCCTTCTCCCTGTCTGCCTGCCATTCCGCAGTGTGCATTTCATCTGGTTCAAAAGTCTCCCTCTTCAACCGCCTGCGTTCCCAAACGGTCAGCACCCGTTATCTTTCTGCCGAGGGCGACATCTTCACCGCGAGTGCCAGGCAATGGGCCGCATTTACTCTTCAGCTGGGTGAGACCTGACAATAACTTGGCCATTTTTCATTATTCATGCTGAACGTTGGGGGTCCTGTCCTCCTAGCCTAGTGGCATCACTGAACTTAACAGAACTGTGCCCTTCAGTGGGTGACAACCTGCCAAAACTAGGAGTGGTTGATTAAGGCTCAGCACTTAATTACCATCCTTAATAAGTGAACAGTCTAAGTCATAAATTAGCTCCCAGATGGGTGCTTTGCTAAATAGCATTACAATATCAGATACATAGCTGTTTTCTACAAGGAGCATTTCAAAGCGAGGTTGAACCTCTTTAAGCTCAAGGGCTACTTTAAGCACAAGCTTAAAGCTCATTTTAAAATCACAGAAGGAGGCTTCCATAGCTTACTGTGTCATCTGAACCCAGCAAGGCATAAAAACAGTCCATGGGTTGTGGGTTTGTTAATCATGCTGACAACCCACCCTTGCCAGGTTGGAGTGACAGAGGAAGCCACAGCAACTGCCCACTGCAGCTTGAAGGCTTAAAATGGCTGCCAGCACACCCCACTGTGGCTTAAATAGGGCTTGGTGGGCTGCTGCAATTGTGCGGATTGATTGGCAGCTGCTCTCCAGGGTTTCAGGCAGGAGTTTTTCCAGATCTATCTGGAGATGCCAGAGATCAAACCTGCAACCTTCTGCATGCAAGGCATGTGTTCTACCAATGACCCATCCTGCACCTCTAGATGATTCCATCCTTTAGCTCACAGCTTTCTCTCTCATTCTTCCTCTCTCTGTGTGAGTGCTTCTCTCCATCTCCTGCTGCAGAAGTTTGCTGTTATCTGGCAAATACAGACAGAGAATAGAGCAATAGTAAATACTCCAAGTTCAATCATGGCTAATTGGGCTAAATTTAGAGTCTCAATGTTATACTCTAGAAGCAATGTTCTTAAAATGTTTAAGTCCACTTCCAGATTTTTGCCTCCAGAGTTTAGTATTTCTCACTCCACGTTCTCTCCTTTTTCTGTCTGAAGCAGATGATTTCTGTTCTCGGTCCCAGGGTGAGTTCCCTCTGCGAGAAGGCTACATTCGCTATGGTTCTATAGTTCGACTTATCTGCACAACTACTGGCATTGCTCTTCCTCCTCTGGTAAGGGTTAACAATAAAATGGAAGGGAAATTATGAGGGAATCTCACTTTTCAAAATTATCTGCAATTCTAAACACCAGGATCTCAAACAGCTTTCAGCTCAAAGGCCAAATTCAGTTTGGAAGAATCTTGGTGGAGGGCAGTCCAATCGTGTATAGGTTCAAAACTAAAAGGTTGAAGGGACAAAAAGACCTTAGCTTAAGGCTCGTAAAACCAGTAACTAAGTCTTAAGAGAGCATTTCAGCCAAGGAAAGGTTAAGCTTGGCCACAGTGAACCAAAGAGAGCAAACCAGGTTTATCTGAGGGGTCACTGGGGTCAGAATAGGAACCCAGGTAGACCCGGTTTGGCCTGAGATTTCAACCTGTTATACCATGTTAGGTTTCCTGTTTCACCCAGATTTTGTGATGGTTACTTTCTCTCCCTGCCCTTTCCAAGTGAACAGAAATCTTGCTTAGTCACCACATAAAAATATGATGAACTAATCACCTAGTCTCCTTGGGTGATTCCTGCCAGCCAATAGGAAAGGCTGTTTTTCTACCATGTCACTGGAACCTACAGCCAACCATGTTTGGTTAGAGCTGACATTGCCATAGGAAGGATGCAGCTCCATCAACCTTTTATTTTATTATTGCAGGTAGGGGATGGTGTAAGCTAATTGCTTTGCCTATCCTATGCATTTTCTTTGTACTTAGTATTAGCTCTAGAGGGCCTTTTGGAGGTCCAGTACAAAATATGGTTTTGCAATTCTCTCTGGATAGCGCAGATGCCATCACTGTGATGAATGGAACAGTATTTTATCACCATACTGTTTTGCAACTTTTAAGAAATTATATTTTCAGGGTTTTTTTACCATATTAGATGCTGATTATTCCATGCATCTACCAACCCCACTAATGCTTCTTTCCTTGATCTAGCCCTTAAGAAGGTGACGACCACCTACAGGAAAAGTCCTTAAATAGGAATTCTCTCTCTCCCCTCCCTCTCACGCGCACACACACACACACACGTGCACACATGGAAAAGAAATGTAATTTCTGCATGGTGCTATGGACTGCTAGGGCTGCTTCATAGAACATGATTTCCCTACATGTAGAATGTAGCCTCCTACCTTTAGGTGCTTACAGATCAGATTTAAGTTTCTGATCACTGCATCAATACATTTTTCTTAAGCTTGCTAACACAGAAAGATACCAGCCCAGTCCTTTAGGCTTAAGAAAAAGAGCATTTCCCTTCACCTTCCTTCTGAAGGGGAATATTTCTTTGCTTGTTTTGAACTTTTATTAATTTATCCTCTTCCCAGATCATTCGGAAAGTTGCTAAACAATCAGTGATGTTGGATGTGGATGAGCCAGTCTCCCAGCTGCACAAATGTGCTTTCCAGCTTCATGGGAGCAGTGGAATGTACCTCTGCCTCTCAACAGAGAAAGTGATCCAGTTCCAGGTAATGGGTGTGCAGAGCAAAACGGGGTAGGGGACTGGACCACTCTTTGTCCCAGATTGATAGACCGTCCTCCACCCCTGGCGCTATTGCTGTGTTGCAAGTGTTGCTGCATTCTTTAATTTGGACTCTGCAGATACAGAAATATGGAAAACTGCTTCATGCTGCATCGGAGCCTTGGCCCATCTTACCCAGTATTGCTGACAATGACTGGCAGAAGCTCTGCAGGGTTTCAGGACAGGATTTTTTCAAACCCTGCCAAGAGATGCTGAAAATTGAAGGTCAGACCTCCTGCATGGAAAGTGTGTGCTTTATCACTGGACCGCGGCCCTTCCCCTGATTTAGGGGATTCCATGCACTGACATGGCATATCTGATCTTCACTTTGTAATGTTGAACAAGGACTGAAATTATGCATGTCAGAGTTACAAAGTCTCCGTGTGCCGGCTACATCTGCTTACGGTGCGTTCCTGCCTGCTCCATGTGGCTGACGAGACAGGGATGACAGCAGGCCAGCAGGACAGAGGAAAATTCTGGGTACTTAGAGAAAGCTGCCAGTGGTTGAAAACTAAAGCATCCTAGAAAGCTTCTTGATTCTTCCGTAGGCTATGATTTGCTAAGGGCTCCTGCCAGGAGCTTTAGGATTTGCTAAGGCCTCCTGCCAAGAGCTTGAATTAGAGTTAGAAGAAATTGCATAATGTTCTCCCAGTAGCCTATCCAGGACAGAATTGTTCTCACCCCACAGAATTTTTTCATCTTTGTTTCACCCTGCAAACCCCATCTCCAGATCTCCTTGGAAGGGTCTCCCATTTCTTGTGAGCAGAGAGTACACCAAGGGCTGCAAGGGATTTGTCCCCTTCCCAATTCTGCTGGTGGAAGTAGTTCCACCAGGAGAAAAAACTGCCTTGGGTGTCACTCCCCAGTTCAGGACTGTGTGTGATACAATACACAGCAAAAGCTGAAGCTACTGAGAGAGGTGGCTTCTTCCAGACATTCTGAGTTCAGTCAGCAAATGGGGGAACAAGCACACAGTCTCTGGCTCTGCTTAATCACAGTCTTTGTCCTGCATGAGTCAGAGAATGCTTCAGTGGGTAGGCTTCTTTACTCAGATCAGCTTGCTGATTTAGAACCTGGAGACTCGGGACTCTAAATATCAGGGGAGCCTGCACAGGTGGGCAGAGGGAGGCCACTGTTTGAGGTGGCAGCAAACTCAAAGTGTTGGTGGAGTAAGCATCATGCTAAGCAGCCTGCTCTAAAATTGCCTGCTGTCTTCAGATGCAGTTCCATTAACACAGAATCATATTGCAGTAGAGTTGGAAGGGGCCTGTAAGGTCATCAAGTCCAACCCTTCTGCTCAGCACAAGACTCCTAGTTAAAGCATTCCAGTTTTAAAGAAAGATCCCACTGTTGATCCAGTCTGCTGTTGGCCGTGCAATGGGGAAAGTGCCATCTTGCTTCAGGCAAAAAATATTCAGCCACTTCTGGAAAGGAACCAGCACAACTCTGCACCTCCTTGGGGCAGCAACACCAGTGATGTAAGAAATTGTCCCCTGAGCACAATTCCACTACTCAAATGTCAGTAGGAAGTGGCAACAACCACAGAAATTGTGACTGAGCTAATTCCTCATCTTTAAATGTCCCTGATGGTTATGCAGGCCTCTCCATGCCCAAAGGAAGCAAATCGGGAGTTGCTGAATGACAGCTCCTGCTGGACCATCATTGGCACAGAGACTGTGGAATATACATTCAGTGACAGCCTAACCAGCATTCGGGATCCTGTGAGCCCAGTCCCTCTTGTAACAGCTCTGGAGGTGAGTAAAGGCTTTTCCCCACACTTCTGCCTGGCTGCTTTATGGAAGAAAAACCCAGGCAAATGCTTTGTCAAAACCAGCTTCAGGAAGCTGCAATTCTATCTGACATTCCTGTTTCCTGGTATGGCACCCAAGGTTATTTGCAAATAGGTTAAAGACCCTTTAACCACCTCCTCCTTTTGTCAGTCCCAAGATGCACTTTGTACTGAACCAGAATGTGGCAATGCTTCCAGTAAATGCATGCAGCACACAAGTATGTGAACTTGTTTGTGGGGCCTAAAGCTGATCTGGAACCCCTTTGGAAAAGTGGGTGTTCCAGAAAGGTAAGCTTCTCTTACTGGAGGTGAATGACAGGATGTGAAGAACAGTACCGGCCTCATGTGTTCTTCTGCAGTCACTTAAGCATTCAGCTCTAAACCAGTATGTTCTGGATGAACATGTAGATCTGATGTCCTCTTAATTTGCAGTGTGGAAGCCACTGCTTTATGAAGCCTCTGTCACATGCTTTCCTCTATGACACTCTCCAGATATTATATACTGCAACTCCCCTTACATCCAACAAGAGGGTTGCTGGCCAGAGTTGATGAGAACTGTGGTCCAAAACATCTGGGGTACAAAGGTGGGGAAGGCTGCTCTAGAGCAATGGAAGCTTACAAAGATATGGAGCTGCTCTCTCTTGCTGGAGACCATTGGCCTATCTAGCTGTGATGCTTTCTACTCAGGTTAGCAGCAGCTTCCTAAGACAATATTCCCATCCTGATGTTTTGGACTGCATTTGCATTTATTTCCAGCTAGCATAGCTATAATCCAATTCTGTGCTGGCTGGGAACAATGGGAGTTGCAGTCCAACACATCTAGACGGCACCAGAGTAGGGAATGTTGTCATAAGGGCTGTTTGGAAAAATTCTCCAGTTCAGCTAGCTGAGAGCCTTTTCGACTAGAACTAGAGAGATCAAAGACTGAACTGGGTCCTTTTGAATGGAAAGCAGTGGTTGAATGCAGTGGCCCCTGCGACACTCACTACCACTCAGTTGCCCCTGCTACATTCACCCATTCATTAAAATGCATTGGAGGGTAAGCTAGGAAGATTTCCTTTAAAAATACGCCAGTCTTGGGAGGAGGAAGAGGGAGGTGGCTTGTGTGGTACCTTCATGATGAGATATATGTAATCCTCTCCCCTGTGGTTGGGTCTGCTTCTCACAGCTGACGGGTGGAGGGGACGTGGCAATGCTCGAAGTGCAGGGCGAGTACTTCCATGCAAACCTGAAGGTTTGGTTTGGAGATGTGGAAGCTGAAACTATGTACAGGTAAAAACACAGAGACAATCTGTTTGGAAAACAAGGTATGTCAATCTGGGCCAATTCACAGCCCATATTCTTTGGGTATCTTCACATCTTCTTGTGTGGTATCAAAAGGGATCAGTGAAATTACCAGGGACTGGGTGGGATCAATATATAACACCATCCCTTTGTAGCACATTTCCCGGTACCTTTTTAACAAGGTAAAAATCACTAATAGACCCCACTGTACCTGCCTGAGGAGAAAGGGAAATGGTTGCACCATAGACTAGTAGCAATCCAAAGTTCCTGCCTCTATGAAGATGCTGTCTGTGGCCATGGTTAGGAGCCCCGTTCCTTCTTGGTCAGTACAAAAGTCTGGCCAGAAACTCTCAGATGGAAACAAGGATGCAAAACTTCATATTTCTGCACCACTCTTCCCCCAAGGAACTCAGAGCTGCAAGTTATCGGAACAAAATGAGGATCTTCTAAACATTCATCACAATACGAGACCCAGATTATTTATTGATTCATTGAATTTGTACCCCACCTTTCTTCAAAAAAGGGGGGATCATAAGGCAGCTTAAAGGCACAATTAAAATTGATTAAAACAATAAAAGGATAGATTAGCATACTCAACCCAGCAGACCCCTTTGCAGGCCAAAGTGTTTCTTTAATAAAGCGCTCTTTGCCCGCCAGTGGGAAGAACAGCAGAGGGGAAGCAGATCTCTGGTTCTGCCCTGCCCTGCCCTGCAACCTTGGATTGGCCTCCAAAAAAGCCCTCTCTCTGATTACCACCAAACAGCCTTCTGAAATGGCAGTCTGCAAAAAAGAGCCTTTCTAGAAGTCCTTCAGAAACAGGCAAGCCCATATAGGAGGAGGTGGTCTCCCAGGGACCCTGGTCCCAAGCCATATAGGGCTTTTTAGGTCAGAACCAGGACTTTGGATTCTGCCAGCAACAGGCTGCTAGCTAATGGAGCTGCTGTAATAAGGAACTCACTATAACTGGCCCTGGTCAAGCATCTCACTGCAGCATTCTGGACCAGTTGAAGTTTCTTAACAGTTTTCAAAGGCAGTCCCATCACATTAGTCCAAAGAGGATGTAACTAAAGTGATCGTGACTTTGGCCACACACAAATTACCTACAAACTGCAGAATTCTTTGGAGGAAGCCATGACAATTAAAGCAATACAAAACTGATTTTTCTGTAACATAAGATCTGTTCTCTTTGGTATTTGTGTGATATGGTAGGCAAAAGCATTCCCGCATATTGAGGAACGCAAGTAAGAGCAAGATTCTGCTCAAATTCAGATAACCAAATGCTGGTATTTCTATTATGGAGCTCACCCAAATCCTTCTCGAGTTTCTGGCAGTTTGAGGCATCCTGCCACTCCCTTACGATAGGAACATAAGAAGAACTCTGCTAGATCAGAGCAAAGTCCAGCAAACTTTTCCCCACTTGGCCAAACAGGGGCTTCTGGGAAGCTCACAAACAGCACAAGAGGGCAATACCCTCTCCCATTTTGCAACTGGTATTCAATGGTACGCTGGCTCTCGTGCTGCCTGGAGACAGTGCGTGGCCTCAGCTTCTGCAGTATCCATTGATCTGTCCTGATGTAAAACTCTGAGAGTGGGGAAGGGGAGAAAGGCTGCATTTTGTCCTTGTCTGGTATATTTTCTTCCTTTAGGAGTCCCAAGTCCTTAGTGTGCGTTGTTCCAGATGTCTCTGCATTTAGCCATGACTGGAGGTGGCTGAGATACCCCATCACTGTCCCTCTCCTGCTGCTAAGGAATGATGGACTAATTTACTCAAGCACTTTCAGCTTCACGTACACACCAGAGCAGAATTTTCTCGCTGGACAACCGACCCTGCCAGAAATGGCACAAGATTCAGACACTTTGCTTGACACCATCCATCAGGAGTTCACCAGGACCAACTTTCACCTCTACATGCAAAATTAGAGCTGGGGCTTTATGTATGCCATGGTGGGCAGGAGCACAGAAAAGGGCAGTAGACAGAAGAAGCCAGCTTCCAAAGAACCTTTCCTTTCATGTTTATGCCATTTTCAGCCCTTTATTTTCATTTTTCCTAAATCTGAGGCATTGGTTGGACATTAGACATTGATTAAAATACTGCATCGAGCACATCATCCTAATTACAGATTTTTCAGATGACCAAGGATCTACTTTTTACTATAGTGTTCAGCCAGATCCTGCTCAAGTTTCTGGCAGTCTGAGATCCCATCCCCATGCTAAGGGCAAGTAGCCAAGTCAAGTAGCCTGTTAAATGATTCAGAAATGACAAGGAGTGAGAAATGGATGCCTCAGCCATTGAGACTGAGGAGGAAGGTTTACAACACAACAGTATGTTGCTTTGGTCGAGATTAGACTTGCTGATTTTGTCACACTGTGTTCCGCAAGGATATCTGTACACCAGGAAGTGTTTGGCCACGGTAGAATGCATTATTTCTTTAAGAAATTCTTTAAGAATTAAAAATCAAAACTTTTCTGCACTAGCCAGAATGTCTCACTGGGACATTATCTGTATCGTAATGATGTCACATACTGACTACATCACAGAAGGTGAAGAAGGACCAGATTGTTGATGAAATATCTTGCACAGGTGAACAATTAGCAGGGATCTTCACCAGTGTTGCTCTTCCGTGATTATTGCAATGTGCGCTATCACAGGAGACTAGGGAACATGATGGGACAAGCATGTTGCTTGGTTGAGTGAAGAGTCCCATCCACTACTGGATTCCAGTTGTTGAGGTCACTTGGAAAAGACACCCCTGATGGCCCTGCTTCTCTCTCCCCACCATTACTGTCATAGGCAAGGAGCCGGTGAGCAATGGCACCTACTGCTCCTTTAATTCACCACCTCCATTGTCTGTGCCTAAGCAAGAGGAGATAAATGAGCAGACCACAGTGGTGCAGAGGAGCACCAAGTCCAGGGCAGGCTCATCAGAAGGTCCCTGATGGGTTATGGGCCCTCAGCAGGTTTACAGCCCCACCCATCCCTGATGCCAGCTCTGGCTCTGTCTCTGAAAGCTGGACTTGCCACTGTGCTGCCAGGGGCAAATGCATGCAGTTGTCTGCAGTCAGCCCTTTGCAGAATCAAGAAGATGATGTGCTAGTCAGTGCCTCCTCAGTACATGCAATTTTTCTGGGCAGGATTATTAGGGAACTAAAAAAGATGGAGAGACTTACAATATGATGAGATGAATTTTCTTCAGTTTTAAGCACTTCTAAATAAATTTGAGATCAAATGACTGCATGGGTTGCTGGTCACATAAACAGTCAAAAACAAACCATGTCAAATAACTCTCAGTTCAACATGGAATATTCCAAGTTGCCTACCGCATCCAGCATTTTCTGAATGTACATGCTTGCCAAGGGTGCTTTAGATGTTTTGTGCCTGAAACAAAGGTCTCTCCCCTCACCCCTGAGCTTGCCTTCCTTCTGTGTTTAACAGCAGTAGAAGACTCCCAGCTCCTCATCCACCCTCCTTTGATGGCCGGAAAGGAGACTCCAAGAGGGCAGCTGCTTCCTGCACTGGGCAGATCACTAGTGCTGTACCATCTTCTGCAAAGTGGGTTCTGTAAGAGAAAAGGATCCTCTTAGAAGTACTGCAGAAAGAGGAATTCTTACAAAAGCAAATGCCCTGGCTTGCAAAGTGGAGGTTGTGTAGCCACATGCCCTACTTTACCCAAGGCAGTTCTCAGTTTGAAGGCCTATCAGAAGACAGTCCTTCATTTGATGGTGTTGTTTATTTGAAGGACTGTCCAATTAAACTATAAAGAACCCTAAGAAGGGAGAGGGGCATCTTGAAGCCACCCATCCAAAGTTAGCACCTGGAATGCAGGCAGGCCGCTTACTTGGTCATCCCCACTGTGGTGAGCGACATAGTCTATTTAAATCATCAGAACTGGCTCTAAACAAGCCTATGCACATTTTACTGAAATCTTTGCCCTCCTTTTGGCAACGTGCAAGAAACCACCATCAGTATGCCTCTGTTCTGACTGATCCCCTCCTGTGGTGTCTCCCTTCACAGCAGTGGCACTCCCCCCACAAACGGCGAGCTGCAACATTCAAAGAACCTCAAGCCTTTCTAGGGTGAGTGGGAGGTTGATTAGCCATCCCCAGCCATGCCTACAAGACAGTGCAGAGCTCCAGATAAGATTAGGAAGCAGGTGTACATGCTGTACCATTGCAGTGAGGAGCAGCAGAAAAGACGGAGGAGGATGGCATGTAATACCACCCAATGTGGTGCTTGAGGTGCGACCTGCATGCTCCCTCTTTCGTTCAAGCTCACCAGTTAACACTCAAGTACGTATGCAGTTTTTGTGAGCTGCTAGCAAATTCCAAAGACCTTTAGAAGGCATCCACATTGCACAGATGCACTGATATCCAGTGTACACATGTTGTGGGTTTTGAAGATGTATTTAGAACCTGGAGATGAATGCAGCATCAAAGGGCCAATCATCTAGTGTGAGGCATGGGGTTGTTTTTAGTATTAGAGGCTGCTTTAGAAAGGAACATGTAGTCAAAACCACACTGGCTGTCAGCCTGTTGAGCTCTTTTAAGGCCTACGGCCCTGGGGGAAACAGACCACAGCCCAGAGCACGGCAGCATGCTAAAAGTACCAGGTGAGCCATGCCAACAAGCAGCCTTTTCTGAGCCTTCCCTAGTCGTGACTCTAATGCTGGAAGAGTCTCTTGTTCATTATTGTGTTTTGTGGGCATGGGAAATTCTGCGGCTGGCATGTTTTTAAAGCAAACAGGTTATTTTATGCTTATAGATGCAGAAATGAGCTTCCATGCCCCTTTATGTCAAAGGGGTAATTTCTGGTTGTCAAAAAGTCAGCTCATTTGCTCAAGGGAAAATAAAATACTGACTTGGTTAACCTCTGACCCACCTTTTCAACTCCAAAGAAATCCCAATCCTGCTTCAGAGAGCACTGTTCACTAAGGCAGCCCAGTTCAACAGTAGTTTAAATCTGGACTACACAAGTCATGTCCATAGTCGTCCCCCCCCCAAAAAAAATGTGGACAGGAAGCTTAAGTTTACAGGAGGACTCTGTCAAAATGTACTTTATTGTAGGCATTGGAATTTTTTTCTTCTGCCATTCTTCCATTGAACCCAGAGTAGTGTACATACAGTTTCCCCCATTTCATCATTTATAACGACCCTAAGAAATCATTTAGGCTGAGAGATGATGTTTGTCCCAAGGTCACCCACCGAGTTCCATGGCTGAGTGGTAATTCAGATTTGGATCTGACCAGTCTAAATGCAACTGGTGAGCCACTATCCTCCACTGGTAAAAGGCAAAGCATATCATATATGTTCAAATTAACATTGTGTTCATTCAGTCATGTTAATATAATACTCTGTATTATATTATGTAATGTTTACTATGTAAACATATAAGTCAATGTTTTTTACATATACGTAGTAACCCACAGGACAAAGTAGCAGAGCTGTGGAGATTCCACTAAGTGCCTAAAGGCCTGCCAGACATAAGCACTGGAAACTTGGAGAAACTTCACTGTTTGCTGAGCAACCAGATATAATATTGACTATAGTTATTTTTCTTTCTTTCTATCTATCTATATATCTATCTCCCACCATAAGTAAAAATGAAGAGAAGAACCAAAAATATTCCTAAATAGTCCAAACCTCTCTCCCAGGAATACAAGTTCCGTGCCAGTGCAAGCCATCACCTCTTATGTTTCTTGGGATGTTTGTTTTCAAAGGCTGCTCCATGGAATGTTGGGTGTGCATTAGTTAATTGACAGTGATATGGGTATCATATGCCAAAAAGGACAGGGTTTCTGCCCCATTAACATTCCCAAGCAAGAAAATCTAAAAGGGGCTTTCCATCTAGAAAATGCCTTAAATGTATAGAAATATGCAAGGAATCAGGATGGATGCATCAGTTTCTTTACAGTCTGCGTTAGTTTTGTTTGTGTTCATTCATAGTTCTAGTCAGTCTCCTTTCCCCTTTGCTATTTAAAAGAAAAATGAACAATAACACAGGTTTTGTATGTTTTTTGAGCTGAGAACTCGGTTGCAAAATTCAGCAAAATGCAAAAACTGAAGTTTAATTGCATTCCAATCTGTGCATTAGTTCTAGGAGTACAAACCATGCCAGTCCACTTCTAAATGCAGAATGAATGAAATGTCCAGGCATCCTCGGTTAGGGAAAAAGCAGTGCCAGAGACAAGGCTGCCTTGCTGCCAAATAACCCAAGAGGAATATTAAAGGGACTGGAGCACTTTTATCCATATCTAATGAGGGATCTCTGTTAAAAGATAAAGCATTCACATCCAGTGTGGTGCGCACAAGAAGTCACATCGTGCTGCACTCTGCTGCTGGGACAATCTACCCTTTCCTGTTCCATCCTAAGGATCCGGTTCTTGCTCACACCCGTTCTGCTTGTTCAGTCATCATGCTTTAGTATCGGGGAAGGGTGATCTCGTGTCTTTATTTCAAAAATCATCACAGCATGAAGGGCCACTGGAGGGCTGATGAGTGGAAAATGATGGTGGAGGACCAGCCAGTCCTCTTGGGAGTGAGAGAAGAGAGGGAGAGTTTCGGGCTGCTTTTCAAGGAAGGATGTGTTAAGAGAGATCCCTGAGAATGAGAGTGTTTGTGTTTCCCGTCCTACTTCTGCAGCCAGTCCATGAGAGGAGAACTAGCAATGTGAGGACACTTTGCCAACCCTCACATGACACAACAGGCTTCAGCAAAGCAGGTGGGAATCCACAGAGGAGGCCAGGGAACAACTAATCAGTGGTCGATGAAACAATTCCCTGTTTGAACCTCTGTAAGACAAATCCAGATGTAAACAAACCATGCTTAAATTAAACTGTGGCCTTAGCATGGGGGTGTTAAACATCTTTCAGCTGGAGACCCAATTTCTATTTTGGAGAAGTTATTGGTGGTGGCCAGGACTGAAGACAAAATGAGCTAAGCCCAAAATGTAGGCATAT